ATACAAATGTGTGGAAAAAAGGTAGTGCTATAAAGGGGAAGAGGAGACTAATTTTTGTCTTTAAGTTCAAGGGAGCTATGACAATAAATCCAATCAAACTGAAAAGCAAGGTGTGTACAGCAGCTATTTTGTGTATTTTATCTATCTCTCGTTAGTGGCTCCCACTATACAGTGATTCACAAGAAAAGGGAAGGGTGAGGATCAACTAGGGATTCACATCAAAATCTTGTTAGGTTGGTGAAAATAATTTCACAGAAGAGAAGAAACATGAGATGAGCTTAGAAAGACAGAAAGTCTAGCCAGAATATAGGACGCTAAAAAGAATAATATGAAGATAGCTGCGGGGAAGGGAATAGACAAAGCAATTTTGAAAATAACTGCACACAGTCTTCATAATTACCACTACAAGACATGTAGCACTAAAGAGAAAAAAAATAAAATGGACAAGCCTAGCAACTCAGCAAAACCTTTTATCAAGAAATAAAAAGAGGTGACAATGTAGCTTAGTGGCAGTTATTTGTAACATGTATCAAATACTGGATGGGTGGAAGTTACAGCATCACTCTTCCAATCATCCAGGGAAGAGCTAATTGTAACTTTACATGCTGGCTAAGTTAGGATTTCATGAGATTCAGTCACTTGCCCAGGTGAACACAGACCTAAGAGCTAGAGTCAAATTCACTCTCCACTTGATATTTCTTAGTAATCATACTGGCTCACTTACAGTGTTACACAGTCAAGTTGTAAGTTATGAAAGTAACAGAGAAGAATCAATAGTTTATAAGCAAACTGATGGATGTGATCAATGAAGACTAAGATAGTTTCAAGAAGTTTCTGTTCAGGTAGATCCAAGTGCCCTCACCGTAAATGAAAAGGACAGGAAGAAAAACAGCAAGCAAACAATCTCCTCGACACCAGCTTATTTTTCAAATTTGCATTCTTGGTGAATACAGTTGTTTGGACCATAGCAGATAGTTGAAAACTTCAAAACTCCCCTCCCATGATGAAATAAAAAAGCAGGCTTAGGGGTAAAATATTTTTAAACTCTCCACATGTGCTGTGTTTGGTGCATTTATGGGTCATCATTGTAGAAGCAAAAAGGAACCTATCCAGGGGGAGGTGTGGTAGGTTTTTTTATCCTAAAAA